CTGATAAGTGGCATGTATACCAGAATGACCACCATGGGGTGAATCATGTAAGATTTGAATAAACTGTAACCTTAGAGTTCCATTAGCCCTAATATAAACTCTATGTTGAAATCTAAGGATACCCTTAGAATATTTCTACCTATGATCAACACTAGGATTAACTGTTAAAATAGAGATCCAGTCAGCAGCCATTTTATCCTCTTTATAAGATTATTCTACCTCTTGCACCTAACTAGGAATAATCAAAGTAGTACTGATATCTAAGCATTGACCTTGATCTTCCCACTGTCTAGAAAGGGCATCAGTAACTACATTAGATTTTCCCTTTCTGTACTGAATAGTGTAATCCAATCCCAACAGTTTAGTCAGGCCCTTCTTTTGAATAGCAGTAGTTAATTTCTGCTCCAATAAATACTTGAGAGGTTCATGGTCTGTTTTGATAACAAAAGGACTGCCTTCTAAGTAATGTCTCCATTTAGAAGTTGCCAATAAAAATAGTAAGGTACTCCCTTTCATATATAGAGAGAGCAGCATGTCTAAGACTAAGGGCCTTGCTAAGGTAAGCAATAGGTCTTCCATCCTGAGATAATACAGCCCCAATTCCCCCTGAACTTGTATCTATCTCCAAATAAAAACATTTACCAAAGTCTGGTAATACTAAAACGGAGGCCTCACACATAGCATACTTTAATTTCTCAAAAGCCAGTAAAGCCTCCTCAGTCCACTTAAAACTGTCCTTCTTGAGCAATTATGTCAAGGGTTTACTAATTGTACCATAACCCTTTATAAATCGTCTGTAATAGCATGTTAATCCCAAAAATCCACGCCAAGATTTTAGAGATTTTGGCACAGGCCAATCCTTCATAGCTGCAACTTTAGAAGGATCAGTAGATACTTTAGAAGTTGAGATAATATGGCCCAAGTATTCCACTTGAGTCTGTCCAAAGAAGTATTTTGATCTCTTGGCAAATAGTTGATTAGTTTTCAAGATTTTCAAAACTAATTCAAGATGAACAACATGATCTGCCATAGAGGTACTGTAAACTAGGATATAATAAAAAAAACCAAGACAAATTTTCTAAGAAATGAACTAAATTATTTATTCATTAGAGCTTGGAATGTAGCAGGGGCATTACCTTAAATTTATAGTGGCCTTGATGAGTTATGAATGATGTCTTATAGATATCCTCAGTTTTAATTCTGATTTGCCAATAACCAGACCTCAAATCAATTTTGAAAAAATATACTGCTCCATGTAATTCATCCAATAAATCCTCCACCACAGGAATTGGGAATTTATCTTTCATTGTCATGTTGTTTAACTTCCTGTAGTCTACACAAAACCTCCAAGTACCATCCTTCTTTTTTATAAAAGACATGGAGAAGAAAATGGACTTTTGTTTGGCTCAATAATAGAGGATGATAGCATATTAGCAATCTGCCTTTCCACTTCAACTTTCTGATTATGTGGAAATCTATAAGGTCTTAAATTAATAGGAGCAGCTTCAGGTTTAAGAGTAATAGCATGATCATGATTCCTTGTAGGTGGCAGACCTGTAGGCTCAGTAAAAACAAAATGATATTGGTACAATAGAGATTGAATAGTTGTAGGAACAGTCTTGGAACCATTAGACATAGTAAATAGGATTACATGTCCCAAAATAGATGAGTCAGAAACTGTCATCTTCAATAGGGTAGCTCCTGAAATATGCTGCAGAAAATTAGATTGTTGCTGACCTTGTATAATAATCTGCTCCCCTTTATGCACAAAACTCAATGTCATGTTATTGAAGTCCATCAAAATTGGACTGAACAGTTTCATCCAATCCACACCCAATACCATATCATTGCCCCCCAACTGAAGTAGTCTAAAATCATGTATAAAAGAGTGCCCTTGCATCTTCCATTCCACCTCATTACACCTTGCTGAACTGTAAAGTTGATGTTTATTAGCTACTGTAATGGCCAAAGGATAGGGAGTATTAACTTGTTTACCAGCATCAGCCCACTGAGGTGTTAAAAAACTGTGGGTACTACCACTGTCAATCAATATACTAAGTGGTCTCCCTTGAATTGTTCCTTGTATCCTCAATGTATTATGACCAATATATACATTAATAACATTCATTGATATTTATAGGCTCTCTTCTTCTTGTATAATTGTTTGCTCAGAATCTGCTGGTGAATTTTCTGAGGGTAAAACAGTGTCATCCTCCATCATAATGTCCAATTGCTTCATTTTGCATTGATGACCTGGAACAAATTTATCCCCACATTTAAAGCATAAATTGTTTTGTCTACTGTAATCTATTAAATTCTGCTTTGGTGATGGATTAGCTGAATTTTTCTACTGAACTGGTAGATGATTTATCTTTGGAGTAGATATAGGATTTGGATATGGTAAACTTCTGAAGGATGATCTCAATCTTTTGCTTTCAAACTCCATAGACAACTCATATAACTTAGCTTGCCTACATGCCTCAGAAAGTGACTTAGGTTCCAAGACCTTGACTCTGTTTTTAATATCCTCCGTTAACCCACTAATAAACAGAGAAACAAAAATTATTCCCCTAATGTAGGGTTTTGAAGTAACATATGTGGTTGTAATTCCTCAAATCTATCCTGATATTCTTCCACAGTCCCGTTTTAAACTAACTTTGTAAACTCCTCTACTATATCAGCAAAAAATCTATCACTGAATCTATGACATAGGTCTGCCTCAAACTCATGCCAAGTAACATGATGTTTTTGTATAATGTAACCATCAAACCAGATTTCAGCCTTACCTGCTAAATACATTGTAGCCACCCCAACTCTTTGCTCATCAACAATATTACAAAGAGAAAAATATTTCAGACATTTTTGTAACCATCCCCTTGGATTAAATCCTTCAAAAATTGGCAGCTCAATTTTTTGTCTATGCCACATTACCCCTGACATGTTAGAAGACCCCCCAGTACCTCTTCTATCCACCTCTACTACCAATAACTGATTTCTAACAGCACAGTTCCCCCCATTAGATTGTCATTTTTACAGCTATCCACATGAACAGGCAAATCCCCTGATTTAGACTTAAGAATTCCATGCTCCTCAGGTTTATAAGTAAACCTAGTCTTATCATTAATCATTGTCACCTTAATAGGCTTTTTACTACTCATATTGGATAAGTTAGGAGTCTGTACCTGATCCCCAGCAGACTGGTTTTGGTCCTCCTTTCTACCAGTCAGAATCTTCAAGATTTCCTCCACATATCTGTGATTCGTAGCTAATCTAGACTCCAGTGTAGAAATCCTCTCTTCTTGAGTCTCCCACCATTTAGGTGGATTAGACTCATATTGTCCTTGTTTCACCAGTGCTGTCAATTCTTCCATCTATTTCTGCAACCCAGCTAAATCTTCTGCCATGTTCTGATTTTTCTTGGGCTTGCCAAAAACCGACGCTCTCGATACCAAATTGTTATAGTTCAAGAGAATTAGAGAAGAATGCGAGAATGAGGAAATAGAAAAGAAAGGATTTTAGAGAATAAGAAAACACTTCATTCATAATCTGAGGAATCAAATACCTCTCAGCCAATCTTATTTAGTTACAGGGCTAGAAAAGTAAATTGTAAAACATGCCAGCTGGCATTACATCTATAACAGTTATAACAAAATGATCTTATCTGCCTCTTTCAGGTAACTGGGCCACCAATCTTGGGCTGCTTCAACTCGACTTGGGTCTGAAACTCCACTATATCTAATTTCTTCTGAGTCGGTTCAACAGCACACTCTACTTTAGAGGGTAAATGCATCATTTCCTCTTCTTCAGTTTCAATCCCTAATTCCCTTCTTTCCATTCCTTCTCTCGCCTCGATTCCCAATTCTCCATCCTCAATCCCTAACCCTAGGCTTCTTCTTTCCCCAATTCCTTCGCTTTCTTCACAATCATCGTTCTCATCCCGCTCATCTCCTCCAACTGTAACATTTTGTTCTTCTGAAATGCAGGTTGTTGATTTGATGACAAAGAATCTTTTAAGGAATAGAATTTCCTTTCTCAAACATGAGCTTGGTACGACCATTATCAACCTCAAGGTGGAGTGTTGATGAATTGAGTTTGATATTGGAAATTAAATATTAGGTTGCAACTGGAAATCATATATTAGGTTGCAACCGGAATTGAGAATTTAGGTTGCAACCAGTTTTGTCTTATATGTCAGTTGTAATGATGTCTATTAGTTGTTTTTGAGTTTGTTTTAAGTTAAGTGTTTCTTTTACATTAATGTTTGACAGCTACACATTTTAGATTATTATGTTTTGTAATCTTATTAAATGAAATTGTTAGAATGATGAGAATGTAGTCCAAACCTCTCCATCCTTGTTTTAGACCATTTGCATTCTTTTCTCTTTTATTTTTCTGCCCCTCCTCTCCTTTTTGGTTTCAAGCTTGTTTTCTTGGTTTAACATTAACATCTCCATCCGAATATCTTCACCTTTAGGAGAGTGGGGAGCTTGCTGATAGTTCTCCAAATGAATATTATACATGGTTATGTGCATGAATCAATGAATTCATTTGAACATTAGGGTTTTGATTACCTATATTGGAATAAAATATATATATCTCCACCAAAAGTATAGCTTAAGTTTCAATCTCTCCAAAAATGATACTAGATTTCTATTTCACTCAATAAACTTAAATAAAATCTAAACTTCAGTGTTTATCAATGGCTCTCTAGAAGTTGCACAAGATGAGAACTATATTCTCTTTCCTAAGCATATCAATTAATATATATATAGTATTGTGCATATAGTCCGAGTACCTTTAATTTTGTCATTTTTAGTGTCTATACTTTTCAAATTTTTAGTGTCCAAATTTTTTTCACCAAAAAGATAAATATTGTTGCAACAATTTTGCATCTTTTTACTCCCCTCCTCTTCTCTACGTATGCTTTATTTGGCAAAAACCCTAACTATAAAAAAAAAAAAACAAACCAAGTCAAGTTAAAGAAAGCCAAAAGGCGAAGAATAAAGGAGAGACTTGCCTTTAGTTGTGAGGAGATCATAAACATTATAGATCTCCAATAAACCCAGAGAAAATAATTATGAGTTTTAATTCTATTAATCTAAGCTTTTTCTTTCTTGTTTTCTTTTTCCTTATAACCGGGTTTGCCACTTCCTCCACCCATATTTTACGTAATTCTTCCTTTCCTTTCTATTTTCTTTATTAAATTTTCATTATTTTCTTTAGGATAAAGTACACAAATGATCCCTAATTATAGGGTGTCGTTTTGTTGAGTTATCTGACTATAGAACGTTACTTTATTGAGTCATCCGATTATTAAAAATTACTAAATTATAAATTATATATTTGAATTCAACTTTGACATTTAGTATAATTTGCATGCAGATCGTGTCCTTCGAGAGAGCAAAGGTCATCGCGTCCCCAAGCATTCAATTCGTACGTTACCTTTCCCCCCTCCCCCAAGAATTTAGTTATTTTATTTTATATTCGTATGTTACTTCTTTTTTTGAGTTCTCCGATTATTAAAAATTATAAAATGGTATTCTAACTATAGGGTACTACTCTGTTGAGTCCATCGATTCTTAAAAGTTATAAAATGATCACTCGACTATTCATATGTTCCAAACTCGTCCTTTTTCGTTTAAAAATTGACGGTCGTCTAAGCTTAATGTTAAACTACTGACTGAGATATAATAAAATTTTGTCATAGAACCGTTTCAATTGTATAGTCGCTTGAGATTCTGAGATTAGATTTTATTATATCCTAGTCAGCAAATTAACGTCTAGCTTAGACGTCCGTAAATGTTTTAACGAAAAAAGGATGTGTTTGAAGCATATGAATAGTCGAATGACCAGTCTGTAACTTTTAATAATCGGGGGACTCAACAAAACATCACCCTTTAGTTAGGGAACTATTTTATAACTTTTAATAGTTTAATTACTCAACAAAACAATACCTTATAATCGGTGGATCATTTGTATATTTTACTTTATTATTTAATATAAAAATTGTATATAATTTATTTTAGATAATTTGGTTATTTTAATTTTAAATTTTATAATTTATATATAAATACTGAATAATTCTAAATAAGACATGCAGCATTAAAATAAATAATTTTGCATAAATTAGAGTTTACGATGCATGTATATTAGATATTTTTACTTTATAATATTCGCACTGATTTTGTTATATAATATGTTTATGCAAAATTCGATTTGAGATCAATAGGTCGGACATTGGTGATTAATTTTAAAAAAACGCTCTTCCTATTAATCTTGCTTTACATGGTGATGTGTGTGTTAGAAGTGCTTCAGACAAAAATGGTGGTCGACATTCTAACTGTAATGATTATAAGTGTTAAGTATTGAACTTAAGTAATGACAATTATTATCGAAACTGCAGCATGCCAACATGATTTCCAAACCATGAACTACACGATCATAACAAGCAAGTGCAAAGGACCGGATTCCCCAAAAAGGGACTGCTGCAATGCACTGTTAGATTTTGTTTGCCCGATCGCTGATATAATCAATGACGACAAGACTGACTGTGCTGTACTCATGTTCTGTAGCATAAGACAGCATGGGGATTACCCACCAAGTATGTTCTTCAACATGTGTAGAAACGGGACACATGCTCTTAATTGTCCTGAAATCTGAATACATGCGCCTGGAACCCATTCTAAACGACCATCGGTGTGTCCTCCAGAGAAAGAATTTACAGTCAAAGACAAACTTATGCCATTTAATAAGAATCATTCTACCTTCATTGTAATAATATACATGATTTCCCAAAATATTTTATCTAAATGGTAACTCTACATATATTCTAATCTGAGATTTGTTTTATCAAGCGAAACATCAATACATAATATGCCTAAAACAATCTAAAGACTTCCTAGGACGTTTGCACCAACCTCAAGATAATTCTATGACATCAGATTTTCAAATATTTAGATACTTGATTATAAATTATAATTTTAGATGTTATATTTGATGTAACAGTTTAAATTTAGCCCAGACATTAAGGTCAAATTATGACAATTACTTAATTATCGAGGTGACCCAAATGCTTATTCAGACTTTCAGTTGTTTCATAATTAGATTGTGCCCTGCTTATTGAGAAGATTGCTCAAAGGTTACAGAGTTGGAAGGGTAGGCAGCTCTCTTATGTGGATAGACTTCTGCTCATCTAGTCGGTGATTTATAGCATTCAACACTATTAGAGTAGGCAGTTGGTTCTCCGAAGTGTGGGGTGCTCGGGTTTGTTGGGCCGTTGTTTGCCGTCCTAAGTCTGAAGGAGGGCTGGGTCTTAAGGATGTTGGAAGCTGGAATCATGCGAGTCTCATTCATTTGATTCGAAGGTTGTTGTTTAAGGAAGGCTCTATTTGGATTGAAGCTTATATGTCCTGAGGGGTCGTTCCTTCTGGCAGGTGGGCATTTCGAGCTCCTGTGGTTAGGTTTGGAGAAACCTTTTGATCCTTCGCTCCATGGGATGATTGCTGATTCGGAGTGGTCTGTGGTTTCTACTTGGAATGCGATTAGAGTGAAGAATGACAAGATTTTTTTTTTTTGAATGTTGGTAATGTTCAATCCCACATAGTATTAAAAATACTATTGGGAATGGTAAGCCTTTCCCACTTCATTGTTGAGTGATAGAGAACAAGGGGACTCTCGCGCACCGCCGCCGCCGTCCGTCTCGACTCGGCTCGGCTCGTGGTCGTGGTCGTGGTAATGCGTGTCTTCGACACTTACAAAAGTGTTTTCTACAGTTCTCTCTGAGTGCTTTCCAATCAGAAGAACAATACCACCATCAGTCCACTCCGGTTTCGGGTGTACGGAATTTGGAGCGACCGTGTTAACCTCGAGGGACGGTCCGCCTACTGCAGCGATTACACACATCGGAGCGAATTCGTTTCTAAGACAGTAGTTTTTGCCACGACACGGTTTACGAATTTATTCCTTTTAATTACTGTTTATATTTCCAGTCAGTGCTAACGGTGTAGTTTTGCAGTTCATATATCCAACAATAGACTGATTTGGCACTTAGGTCATATACCGATAAACTCGATTATTGCTTGAATGGTGATTTTAGATAGGCTTCCCACCAAGGATAAGCTAATCTCCAATGGTCTGAATATTGATGGCATGTGTAATTTGTGTGTAGGAGAATTAGAATCACGTGATCATTTTTCTTTAGTTATACATTCTCTAAGCAGGCGTGGACAGGTGTCCTGGCTGCTTGTCACCTATCGAGACCTGTGCTGGGCATGCTGTAGGTTGAGAGGTAAGTCTACTATACCTGGAATTGTTACGTTGCGTTAATTTGGCGTGAACGGAATACAAGGCAGTTCCAGGGGAAGTCCTCCTCTGAGGCTAACTTAGTGAATCAGTTGATGGAAATTGTCATATTAAAATTGTTTGGTACGCAGGTGGGGGTTTTGAACCAGTTTGGTTGTATTCTCCAAAGAAAATTCAGATTTTAAGACGGACATATGTTCATTCTGGTTCTCAGTTAAGGTGAATCCACAATGATGGCAAAGTTTGTGTTTGGCAAAGTTGGCAATGGAGGCAATTAAGGCTGTTGATGAAGGTGTCGAGCAGCTGGGCTATCATTGATGTTCGACTTGTAGAATGATAAAACAAAGCAATTGAAAGACGACACTATTGCTTCGAGATATTTCTAACTGATTAGTTTTCGTAGGACGAAAATGGATTATCTTTTTTTCTCATAGAAAATATTTTATTTTATTTAAAAATTTGCATACATTAAATATAAAATTATCTCCAAAAAAATCCATACAAGATCCACACCTTAATTGAATCAAAAAAACAACTCCAAAAATCCCCTTACTATCAAATCTATTAACCCCTTTATTATAAAAAAATACAAATAAAAAAAATATAAAATATAAGATAATTTGAAAATTGTATGAGATGACTGCCCACCTTCTCATAGATCCATCCGTGGTATATATTATGCTCTCTAAAATAAGACAGCATGAGAAATTGATAATTTAAGTTATATATGCAAGGATTGAATTCGATCAAATTAAAGTATAGTGATAGAATTTAATCAAATTGGAGTATACAAATTGAATCCACAATTTATACAAAATACACGTATTAATCATAGAATTAGACCAATTTTTTTATCCAAAGGTTAAATATTGTTCCAACAATTTTTGCAACATTATCCTCCCTTCTGCTTCTCTACGTTTGCTTTATTTAGCAAAAACCCTAACCATGAAAACAAAACAACAAAGAAAGAGAAGATAAGAGAGCCGAAAGGCAAATAATAGAGAGAGAGAGAGAGAGAGAGACTTGCCTTTAGTTGTGAGGAGATCATAAACATTATAGGTCTCCAATAAACCCAGAGAAAGGAATTATGGGTTCAAATTTAATTAATCTAAGCTTTTCCTTTCTTGTTTTCTTGTTCCTTGTAACTGGGTTTGCCTCTTCCTTCACCCATATTTCACGTAATCCTTCCTTTCCTTTCTATCTTTGTTTCTCGTTATTTTAATGCATCGAAAACTGATAATAATATGAATCGTTATCGAATCAAATAATGATACATTATCATAACTATAATTATATTATCTATACATCAAGTATTTAACTTACATTTAGTTTAATTTGCATGCAGATCGTGTCCTTCAAGCTCAGAAAACTGATATGCGTGGCGTCCCCCAGTTTTCAGTTCGTACGTTACCTTTTTTGCTATGTATCGAAATTTTTTCGGTTAGTTATTCTTTTTATTTATGGTATTCATCTCGCACTAAAAATCTATTTTCAAAAATATTTCTGAATCCGTCATTATTTTAACTGTAGCTTACAAACATGATTTCCGAAACATGAACTACACGATCATAACAAGCAAGTGCAAAGGACCAGACTCCCGAAAAAAGAATGTTGCGATGCACTGTTACAGTTTGTTTGCCCGATCGATGATATAATCAATGACGACAAGACTGACTGTGCTGTACTCATGTACTGTCATAGGCTTTGCTTTGGGTACAAACCTTGCTAGTGTTCTTTTCAAGCTAGGATCTTGATGCATATAGTTGGTGGAATTTTCATTTTTCACTCCGATAGAGTCGATTCATTCTATTGTCATTGTATGTTTCTTATAATCTAATTTAGAAGCGTGTATATAGACCGGGTTGAGATATAAATATGTGTTGGAAAGTTTACTGCATGTCATAGTTTGTCCAACTAATGATTTTTATCTATACTTAATTGAATATACTCTTTTATTGAAATACCAAACAACATCATGCACTCTATTAACGTTAAAACATAACCTTATCAAATCCAAGTAGAACATATGTACCATTTAACCACAAATTTAAATAAAAACATGACATCAATGCCTAATCTGTTGTAGCTAAGCATAGCACCACAGAAAGTTGATAACACAGATGGTGCTAGATGAGAAGCATCTCATGTTATGAAATTTACAGGGCAAACAAAACAAAAGCGATGCCTTTTCAACCATTCATCGCCTAAACTTATCCCCTCTAAAAAATGGATGCCTTAGCGCTTCCCAAGCTGTGAGTCTGTCGGTAGGGTCATACTTAAGCAACCCTTGCAACAAATGAATCAGATCTCCAGCTGAGTGGTCCACATGCTGCATTATCAGGTTCTGCATTCATTGGAAACAAATCATAAGGACAAGACCAAGCAGCAATCCACTACCGTGTCATATTTGCCATGTTGCATCAGAATTAAGTACCTGAAGACGAGGTAGCTTAACAACAGCTTTGATACTCTCCCTCGAGTTAGCACCATCTGGCCAATCCAATCTACCCCTTCTAACATACTTCTCCGCATGTCGACTGAAACAGACAAATTTTATGTTAATTACCCCATCCAAAGACTCTGAAAAACAAACCTAAAGAATACATCATCAAAATACGCACTCTACTCTCTTCAACATGTGCTGAGGTAGTGGACCTAACACTCGTTCCATCATGGCAAGGTGCTCTAGATTCTCATGAGTTTGAAACAATGCCTCACCCTGTCAAATTATTAATCGTCGAAATCATTTGCAGATCTTACAGAAGGGAAAATACAAAGAAAACATTATTCTGAATTTACCGTGCATAATTCAACCAAGATGCAACCAACACTCCATATGTCACAAGGATAACTCCATCCCAGCCCTTCAAAACAAGATATCAGAAACTTATGAATCATGTGACCAGTTTCTAAAAGCATTAATACTTGACCATAACAAACTGAAAAATACATACCAAGAACCACCTCTGGAGCACGATAATGACGCGTAGACACAATGTAAGTCTGATCTTGACGCTCATAAGTTGTGCTACCAAAATCTATTACCTTAATAGCACTTGATGTTGGCAATCTTTTAAAGTAAGAACTACCTTTGGAAGATCTTGATGTACTCTGATAGCATAAAAATGAAAAAACAATTAAGCCAAGCAATGATGATGATAAATCACCAACAAAATAAAAACATAAACAGGCTATAATGAAATTTACACGGTATTTGTGCTCCAAGGAAAGATTAGGGCATCAAATAAAGAAAAAGTACCTTGTAATCAGGAACTTTGACACACTCCGGAGAGACGAGAAGAATGTTTTCTGGCTTTAAGTCTGTATGTATCAGATGCAAATTGTGCATGACTACAAATATCAAAGAGGAAAGTATAAAAAACCAGTGCCAGAATGAGATCGACTGGAATTATTCTAGGTATTATTCTAATAAACTTCAATGCAACCACATTCTAAGGGAAAGACTTTAGACACCCTAATACTTAAAAATGGCAACAAGAGAAAAATAAGCAGAGATACTAGTTTAGTAGTTATTACACACATGCTACACATTCCAATAGTTGTCTGCCAATCTCACGGACAAGATCCATGGGAAATGAGAGATAATTGTTATTCCGTAGAAAATCATATAAGCTTGGCCCAAGCTTCTCAAAAACCTGATAAAACCATTTAAATTCATCCACAAGTTTTAACCCCCAAATTATTGGTGAGTGGGGAAAGCAATCCATTACAAATCAATCATATACTTATATACTTACAATACAGATATGGTTACGATAGTCGAACCAGTTCCGTATTTGCACACAACTGCAAAGGAATGAACCCATTTAACCATTGCAAGAAACTTGAAAAAGTTGGTTAGAAAGTGAATAACTCCAGTAAAATATAATAACAATATTAAAGATTACTTACCGATTGCCACCTTTATCATGTTTCCCAAGCTGTTGCAGCATCTCAATTTCTATCATGGCTGCTTCATGATACTTCTTAATACCACGAACAATTTTGATGGCAACCATTTCCTTCCTCTCTCTATCCCAGCATTCTAAAACCTGACCAAAAGTACCTGTAGAAAAAAGTAGGCCAGGAATGAGATGCCTGCTAAAGATGGAATAGCATTAGCACCTAGATAATTGAAGCAAGCTAGAGGTGAACCAAAGGCTCAATAAATTCAATAAGGTATTACCTTCACCCATTTTACTCTGTATCTTATCTGCAGCCATGAAGAAAAAAGAATAAGAAATGATAGTACTGGTCAACTGAGACATGTTTCGAAAAAAGCTTCAACGAGAAAATAAAGCTAATAAACAAATTCTGAATTTGAAAGAAAACATTAGAGCCCTTTGAATTTTAAAAAAGATCTAGCTAACCACAATACCAAAGTTAATCTAAAATCTATTCTAGCAATTCACTTTAAGATTTTCAAGGCAACTAGTCATAACATAAATTTGTGATGGTAAAAGTGAAATTACAGCGAGAGGTTAAATTATCTCCAAGCTCAAACATGTAATGTCCATCCTTGTCATCTTCTCGCCACGGGGGAGAACCATTTCGAGCCACCCCACCCTTTAGAACTACAGAAGAACTAGTAGTAACAGTACTAGAACAATCTGAGAGTGCTTTTGCGGTAGAAGAAGCAACGGTTGTCATATTTCCAATCTCTTGTGCACAAAACATTCCTACCTGAGCCTACACATAGCCATCCATTCATTGTACCACTAAAAGATTAAAAATCAATTCTCATTTACCATCAACAATTACCTTATAACTCCTCCTTACCCACCATAAATTACCATAAGTAAAATATATACATCACAAGCAAGAAAAAAAACAAAAGAGACGAACAAAACCATCCATCAATAGTAAAGGCCGCACAAAATCAAATATAAGATCTTGAGGAATTTTTCTATCTTCATAAATATCATGAAACCTTGCAAATCGACCAATAAATCCATATAACACGGATTTCTTCTTATAAATAAGATAAATTTATGGTTGGAGTGAATTATTAAAAAATCTAAATTAACAACGAAAAAGACGACATGAAATAATAGCAGATCTGAGCCAAAAGGCGTAAAAATAAATGCTGATCTTTGTAGAACGGAATCATAACTTAAAAAACCCTAAGCATAGAGGATAATATTAACTAGATCGGGAAAAGGAAAATCAAAGAACAAAAGCGATACCTGCGGCGGCAACTGAGTTACGTCCCAGCCCAATCGCGGACGTTTTCTAGGTCGCCGATCCATATGCGTACGAGGAAACTCCGTCACGCGCTCCATCTCCATGAGCGTAAATCCTATATCTGGAAAGAAAATTATTTTCTCCCGAGAAAATTACAGAAAATCGAAAAAGAAAAATTCCTTGTTTTCCTGATAAGGTTTGGTTACCTCACCCAAGCTTTTAACCTAACAACTAATGGACCGGCGACGGTTGTAATGATATCTGGACGTACACGTGTCAACTCCTCCACCGTTGGTGTAACCGAATATAGCTAGTGTGAATGTGTGGTCCTTTTAAAATTATTATGGGTAAATTACATAATTCATCATTTAACTTTATTTTATCTTATTTGGGTCACTTCATTTTTAAACTTTTCAATTTACTCACAAAACTTTGAAGATTGAATTTTTTTCTCTCACTTCTCTGTTAAATAATTAAATACGTCATGACATGTCAACCAAAACCAAAACGAAGTAGTTTTGGATCCTTATAAAAAATTAAATTTAGACTAAAATGACGTAATTTTGATATGAATAAAAAAATATTTTTCTTCTTTTTCTTTATTTTTCCCTTTTCTTGTTTTTCTATTTCTTCCTCCTCATTTCTCTCCTCAACTTGAAAAACTTCATATTTCGGCCATTACGTCGATCATCGTCGTCAGAAGTCAATGATTCTCAAAAAAAATCATCAAATGTGTTTCATCTGATTTTCGTTTAACTGAAAAATACTTCAAACTCCATAGATCTAACTTTGATGTCACTCAAGTTCTCACAAATAAAAAAAATTGCATTTTCTCGTGGTCGGACAATTGGTCGTTCATGCACTTGATTTTGGATTATTGTCACTTGGTAGTGAACATCCCCAGCTATACTCATTGGCTTTGGAAAACTCCTAGTTGACCTTTGGCTACAAGGAAAGAAAACGTTCACCGGGCGTTATCGAACTCTTTCATACACGGGCAGTGGAACTACGCGAACCCTGCTTTGATCACTCCTTAACTTAGCCTGACCAATGAGATTTTTCTTCGACCCCTGGTGTTTGAATACAACTGTAATGCATGGGGAATAAGAGAACAGGCGGCGTTTAAGCTTTAGAATATCATCGTCGATAAAATATGTTAGACTTTAGAATTTATGATTTATGATTCACATTTTATAGATGAGGGTCGAGGATTTAAGAATGGTTTTTAATAGTTTAAAATGATTATAAGATAGTATTTATTCATAATTTTTTTTAGTTATTGATAAGACACAAACAACATGCAGACTCAATAATTTGAACCAAAGATCTCAAAGAAAAATAATTTTCCCTTCAACCACTTAATTCATTTTAAAATATTTAAATAACATTCAAATAAATATATCCGTAGAATAAAATTTTCCATTATTGATGAAATAATAGTTCATTTAAAATAACATCATTAAATAATAATATTATATTAATAATACTTTGCATATTTTAATGAAGTCGATGTATATAAATATATACACACACTCTCATATTTCTTCTATCATTATTTTTTTTCTTTTTTTTTGATGACTTCTATCGTTAATATTTTCTAATGATGGGGATTTTTTATTCAAGTATATCTCTTTTAAAAATATTTTTTATTCTAACATCCATCGTAGATTATTTTTTAATCTCTCTTTTTTTTTGTCATGTACGATAAAAATATGTTATATGGAAAGTGTCTTTGAAAGTGCATTTTAGAGTACGTGACAGCAACACGGACACATGTTAGACTGAAATGAAAGAAAAAAAAATTAAAACATGAAAGAAAATCATATTTTTTTCAAAAAATGCAAACAATATGTGCCAAACACACATAATTATACAAGCACAAGCGACAACAATAGCACATGTGTACTAACTTCATGTACAATCATCAATTAAATATATGTTTAAAATGTTATATTTAAATATTTGAAGATTCAAAAATATAAACAATGTGGGTTTTGAAAATCTCTATGAGCTTATCAAATCTTATATTATTTATACATGTAAATTTTCAAGTGTTTGAATATGATTGTTTAAATATGCATTTATTGTATGATTGAATATAATACTAATCGCGTGTGATGTTGTTGCTGCTCGACTCGGGAAATTTGGACAATTTTTTTTTCATTTTAGTCCAATTTTTAGAGTTATAATGTATTTTATCATATTGTCAGAAGACACCTTAGGTAAAAAAAGTACCTTTTACTTTTGTACATAAAAAGATACTAAATTAGTATAATTTACTTTTTATAGCTTGTAACTCCAAATAATTCACACTATCCATCACTGTCTAACTATCCATATAGAAGATTTCGATGCCCCACCCATAGACTATTAAACGCTTAAAATATATGGATTCGGACAAACGGCTAAAGTTGAGACTGTTCACACATCAATTCGCATCATCATGTTATGTCGGTGGTTATTTTAGTTTTTGGAAAATGTGAGGATGGTTGTTTTGATTGTTCATGTTAATCAGGTTGTTAGTCCACGCTAATTATATCAATGGTTGATGAGAATAAAATAATTTTGTTAATCGTAAGCAGTTCTTTTTTCTTAATTCAGGTGAAATTTTATTACTAGTGAAAAAATATTGTTAATCGGTATTTTTGTCTTACAAAGGGTTGATCATGAGGAAGAAGAAAAGCGGTTATAAGGAATGCTTGCTCTATTTCAGTCGTGTTAAAAATCATATGATCATCATAATTATTAGTAGGTTGACGAGCTAAACAAATTTTGTAATCATACTTTGAATTTTGTTCTTGTGAGTATGTTGGAGACTATGTCTACGCACTGTAATTTACTGAAGGAATTTTAGCAATTTTTAATGTATATGATGGAGTAGGCTTCTGATAAAAACGAAAATATTTTAAAAAATAAAAATATTTAAATTATAAACCACCATCTTTTTTATCCTCGGTCCATCCAGTCCACAGAATACGTCACTAGCTATCCATTGGAAGATTTATGTGCCCCAGCCATAGACGAGCACATGTTTAAAATAGATAGCTTCGGGAAAAAGTTTAAATTTGCATGATGAAAATGAGGTCGGTTTGCGTCACGTTGCTTACAGATTAAATGCTCAGCTAGGCGTATCCAATTTATACTTTTCTACTGCAAATTCAATCATCGTTCTATCATTTTAAATACACACGTTCACCCATACATTTCCATCACTTTCCCTAGAAAAATTTTCTTCTCTTCATCACTATTCCATGGATTTTCATTTCATCCTAACGCTTTCGTTGATTGTGTTGACACTTTTGGTGGTGTTAAAGAACAAAGCTCGAACAAAAAGGCTTCCTCCTGGTCCATGGAAGCTCCCTATTATAGGGAACCAACACCAACTCGGTGACTCACCCCATAAATCGATTCAACTACTGTCCCGAAAACACGGGTCGATGATGTTCTTGCAACTCGGCGCCGTTCCGACGCTGGTTATCTCTTCTGCCGATGCTGCGATGGCGATCTTCAAAGGCGGCGGCACCGGCCATGATGTTGTGTTTTCCGGTAGACCTATTGATTTATATGTTGCCAAGAAGTTTAGTTATAACTTAAACAGCATATCTTTCGCTCCGTATGGTGATTTATGGAGGGAGATGAGGAAGATAGCGATGGTGGAACTTCTGAGTTCAAAGAGGGTCAACTCGTTCCGTACTGTCAGAGAAGAAGAAGTTGCAGCAATGGTGGATCATATAGGTTCCACGTCGAGCACCGTGAATCTCAGCAAACTGTCGATGTTGTTAGCAAACAACGTCGTGTGTCGGGTCGCTTTTGGTAAGAAATACGGTGGCAGAGACGGCGGCGGCGGCGGTAAGTGCAGATTTAACTCCGTGATGCATGAAACTCAGGTCCTCCTTGGGGCATTTCTTTTGTCGGATTACTTTCCATGGATGGGGTGGCTCAATAAGTTTAATGGCGTTGAAGCTAGAGTTGAAAAATGCTTCAATGAACTAGACAAGCTGTACGATGAAGTAATTGAGGACCATCTTGTTCCGACAAGATCTACCGTTGTACACGAAGACATTGTTGATGTTCTTCTTCGATTCCAGAAGGATCCATCTCAAGTTTCCCTTAACAATCAACAAATCAAGGGTATCCTCACGGTATGCTATAAACAATCTTATCTTTTGTTGATGAGATAATATTTGAGTTAGAACGATAAAAAATAATTTATCCTTTCTTAGAAAACCATAATTAATAATATATGATATCTTATTTGAGTAGAGAATCATAATTAATAATATATGATAAAAGATTGATTTTTAAATAATAAAATGTGTTCCTTCCTCATAAAAGAAGAGAGGAAGAAGAAGCGAAATTATTTGTCTTACCTGATAGATTTTATATTAACTTTTTATATTAGAGTGAGATTTAATGTCATGATAATTATTTGTATGTTGGTAGGTTAAATAAATATGATAAATTTATTGTTAGTAGTCATATTCATTCAATATGTGACTTATATCATGACATTAGATTTAATACGTACCAACCGTCCAACACTAAGAATTAGTATAGAACTCGTTCAAGATAGAGAGAGATGGTTTATCTTTTTCTTCTTTCTCTCTGTCAACAAAGAATGTAGTCATCAATATCTTTTGTGTGTGTATATATATATACATTTGTATGTTTGTTAAGTCATTTTGATTTAATCAATTGAACCAAATTGAAATGACTTTAGGACATGTTCATAGCGGAGACCGATACAACAGCATCAACTCTCGTTTGGACCTTCACCGAGATCATAAGAAATCCACCATGTATGCAAAAGGTGCAAGATGAGGTACGAGAGGTTGCCAATGGAAGAAACATGATCGAAGAAAGTGACCTTCCCATATTAAATTACTTACAATTAATTATAAAAGAAGCACTTAGGCTCCACCCACCTGTTCCGTTATCGGTCCCCCGAGAAACAACGGAGGATTGTATCATAGGAGATTACGAAATCTCTGCAAAAACAAGGATCATTATGGACGTGAGGTCGATAGGACTTGATCCAAAATATTGGAAAAATCCTAATGAGTTTAGACCTGAAAGATTCATAAACAACATAGTTGATTTCAAAGGGAAACATTTTGAGTTTCTTCCTTTTGGAGTCGGAAGAAGGGGTTGTCCGGGATTGAATTTTGCTATCGTACTTGTTCAACTTGTTATTGCAAATTTTTTGAATCGATTCGACTGGAAACTACCTGATGGGATGAGGGTGGAAGATGTGAATATGGAAGAAGATACAGGGTTGACAATGTTCAAGAAAACTCCTCTTTGTTTGGTAGCTACTAGGGTTGTGTAAACACACAAGTGGCTTGTTGATTTGTCCCCCACCATTGCTAGTCGATGGAAAGCTCAATTAATGATAGGTTCCAGCCACCTCCAAGTTGCTCTTTATCATTTTCAAATTTCATTCTATCATTATTCTAACATTCTAAATACACAAATTCAATAATAGATTCCCATCATTTTTACGATAAAGTATATACTCGTAATTCAAAGGCGACATTTAGATGTAGATTTATCGTCATTAAAAATTTTAAATTTGTATATATAATAAAAACCAAATACACCTAAATGTGCCTTAAATATATAAAATTATTAACCTAAAATTAAATTATTATTTAATTTTTTATCACTGTATTATAACTAATTTGACCAACTCATATGAAAATGTACTGTTAGAACTAGAAATTTCGAACAATGGCTTTAGCGCCAATTCAGCATTGTCTATCTTATATTAGTTTAGGTCATTTCAGATATATATATGTTAGGCGAAACTATATTACCTAGTTTAGGTCATTTAATATATAAATATACTAAATTTGTATATATAATTCTATCAATAATCTAATTTTATTTTCTAAAACTTTATAATTCACTTTTTCAACAAAAAAATTCATATCTATCTCTAAAGACGCTGGCAGCCATGATATAAAACTAATTTGTATATAGAAAGAGAATTGTATAATACCAACGAGGTTAGTTCAAGTGGTAAGTAATTTGATATCGTTTAGAGAAAATAACCCCAGTGACCAAAAATGCCTTATAATATACGAATGTAACCAACTTTTTTTGGATTTGCCAAAATGACCAATAAATTCGCAACGCGAATTCAAATTTCGCAACCCCAGTTTCCAATTTCGCAACGCGAATATGTAAATCGCATTGCGATTTTCCAAATTCGCAACGGGAAAGTCAAATTCGCAACATGAAAGTCAAATTCGCAACGCGAAAGTCAAATTCGCAACGCGGATTTGTAAATCGCAACACAGAAGTCAAATTCGCAACGCGATAGTCAAATTCGCAACGCGAAAGTCAAATGTTTTTATGCGAAACACAATATTAATTTCACAACACAAATGTAAACAGTATTATCGCAAATCATCTCTAACCTAAAACCCTAAAGCACAACTCAGTCACATCTCTATCTCTCACTCTCTACGGCGACATCCGTCCCCATCTCCGACGAAATCCGTCCCCATTTTCGACGAAATCCATCTATCTCCATCTCTCAGATCAACCCTCACAACCATTCACGATCAGAAATGGAAAATCAACCACCGAGGGTTAGTTTTTTTAATCTCTTATTTTTATTTTGAAATTTTTGTATTATTATTAGATTAACCATTTCACTGAGATTGCTAAATTCATTCGGTTGCTGCCAATACTGCTAAATTGTTTAGTCTTTAACCCTGTGAAGTTAGTATTTGTCTTTGTTTTATCTTTTTTTTTGTCTTTTTGTTGAAGAAACCCTAAATTGCAACACCAAATTCGCAACGCGCGATTTTAGTTTCGCGTTGCGAATTTAAGTTTCAAAAACTTCTTTTATTCGCCAAATTGAAACTTGAATGAATTGTATTACTTCAACCAAAAAACAAAGACAAATACTAACTTCACAGTGTTGCTAATTTAAGTTTCAAGAATAAACTAATACTCTTTATGTTGTCCTTAAACCTGCACTAAACCTATATGTTATCCTGTTAAATGTTTATATAAGTGCTTACTTCTGGAATGTTATCTGATGCATTTTGTGAACTATGATGGAATAATGACTTAGGTGAATATCGTGCTAGTTTGAAACATATTTGTCTTTGTTTTCACTGTTTAATATATCATGTCTGTTTATAGTGTATAATTTGTAGTTTTTGGTATATCTAACTTGGTATGTTTATTGTTTTTGTATAAATTTTTTCGGATGCATTGACCTTAAGGAATAAATTAAGCCTAGCCACTAAAATTGCGTCGACGCTTACACCTCTACAAAGAAAATTGTTTGAGGATACTTGCTTCGGGCCATGGCTGAAAGTGCAACATACAGGTGGAGATGCTATGTTGACACATTTGTTTCTTCAGACCATGACTAACGATCTACCCAAGGGGGTACAACGTGGTGATGAGGAGATATGGTTTCATTTTCCTCCGGCACCAGCGTATACTTGTTTTGGGAGGGGGGAGTTTTGCTTAATCACCGGTCTACGCTTCGGACACGATGATGTAGGTCGGTACACTAGTCATATCGCCCGCCCATCATGGTTATATCGAGTTTTTCCTGAGCTGGCAAAGTCGAAGCCGAGTATACACGTCGATGACTTGAAGAGATTATTTGATAAAAATGGTTTTACTCATTGGATGACCTTGATGTTGTCCGAGTATGCCATTTATTACTTTTGCATGTCGGCTTTTTAGGCAAAGAGGGCAGACAACCAATCTCCGAGGACCTAATATTATTGGTAGAGGACCTAAATGCATGAAACCTGTTTCCGTGGGGTTCATATCTATGAAAGCTACCTGGATGAAGTTGTCGTCTGCCTTTGAGGACCAAAAAAGTTTGTGGGTCGATGGTTCTAAATACACTTTGACAGGCTTTACTTGGGCCTTTAAGGTAAGAATTTCTATATTATAATGTTTCCAAAATTATAATTAATTATTTAACAATTACTAATCTTTGTGTATTATATTGTTTGTTGATTTGGATATTTAAGGCTTTCCCCAGCATGCAGACATATGCGATAAAAAGATCAAATGATATTCCTAGGGCTATTACCTAGAAGAGGATCCGCATGTTGGATTGGGAAGAGTTACTCCCATATACGACGATGAATGATGTAAGTTAACACACAAATAATACCATATAAATAAGTTATTACTAGTACAAGTTTAATTTTGTTTGAGCTTTTATATTGTTAGGTGGCCAACTATCCATTACAGAGGTTGACACCCACAGAGGCTGAGCTTGCCACTGATTGGTAGCAAGCTAGTAAGCGGTTTTTTGATGGGACGGATGATGAGCACCCCCCACCTCGAGAGCCATCACCTGATCGAGCTGATTCTACAGCTCGACACCTGGAGCCATCACCTGATCGAGCCTCTTCTCCACCTCCATCATCACTTATTCCATCACATCATCGAGCCTCTTCTCCACCATCACCTCATGATAGGCGACCGGCAAAGAGGCCACGACATTTATCTCCTTGTTCTCCACCTCCACGGGATGAGTTAGGGGAATTACATGATGAGGTCGGTGCTTTGCGTCATGAGGTCGGTACTTTACGTGAAGATAATGGTGCATGGCGTGATGAGGTTCGATCTTTACGTGGTGAGGTGGATTTTTTACGCGATGACAATGGTGCGCTACGCGGTGAGGTATCTACCTTACGTAATAAGGTTGCCGCTCTACGCGAGATTGTTTCATTGTTGCAGAATGAGGTTAATACTCTACGCAAAGAGGTAAATTTGTTTAATAGTATACTAAAAATGCAAATAACTTTTTTTCAGCATTATTTATTTATTTATTTATTTATTTATATATTAATTTATTTTCAGCGGCCCGATAAGGTAGATGCTTTACGTCGAGATTTTCTTGCACGACGGGGTTCACGCATGAGACGTCGTGCACGTGCCATTGCGTCTCCGTTCACCTCACTAGTGCCAAGACTCCGTAAGAATAAGCTTGATGCACCTATCATCATTCAAGAGGTGCCTCCTATCATTCAAGAGGCCCCTCTCATCATCGAAGAAGCCCCTCCCACCGTTGAAGAGGCCCCTGTCATCATTCAAGTGGTCTCGTCCGCCGTTCAAAAGCCGATTCATTTGGCGTCATATGTTGACATATTGATAAACCCCCTCCCGTGCCCGATATGATGGATGCGTGTTGGCTTTCGTATGAGTTACCGACCAGTACCATTCCTCAGTAGGAGATGGAAACACTACCGGACAATTACGGATAATACCCTTTGGGCTAAGACCGCAGTTGATTTTTATGTACATGAGCGGAGCAAGGGGTGTTATTCTGACCTATGCCAAATCGATGATGCTATTCATTTGTTTCTTGATCATCTTGGTGGGGTATTTTATTAGGGTTGAAGATAATGACTACCTCGAAGGGGGTAAGTATTATATTCTTCTTATATTGCATTTTGATTATTTTTTTTAAAATTATTAATAAATTCACTAATATATTTATTTTTTTATAAAACAACATATTGATGCATGGGTGTCACGTCTTCTAATAATAAGGAAATTGAAGAAAAAAGGTACTCGATGGACTATTATGTCGACGTCTTTTCACGCAGCTCACTTGAAGGATCAGAGAGATGCTTCATATAAATTGGCTAATGGAAAAGCTAAACTTTATCCTGCGTGGTGGGAGGTCGATAAGGTTAGTATTTATTTTTTGAATATTTTAAAGGTTTTCATAAATTTTATTTGATGTGCGCAATTATTTATGATTGCAGATGTTTATCCTGTTTTGGAACATCGTCATTGGCTTCTCGTCGAGCTTCAGCTCCCATCACTAAAGACAATGGTATATGACAACATGTTGAATTACATACCATTGTCTGATTTGAGAAATATTATTACAAAGAGATGGAGCGATCATTTGGCTAAATACTTGAATGTGATTGATTATTGGACAAAATCTGGAAACAATAAGCCAAAGAAGTTCAAAATTACAATGATCAGAGACGAGACTGCGCCACAACAAACGCAGGGAGCCAGAGGGGATTGTGGTCCTCTCGTATGCTTGTGCTTGGAACGTTTGACGACAGGAAGTATACAATATCTACCTCCCACAGATAGATATAGAGCTGCAGTAGGCTTGTGGTTTTGGCATTATATGGCCAGATCGATATATACGAGACGCTGCCTACCTGCATTCGCGTGCCGAAAGTTGTACATAAACAATTGGTAAGTTTGATCAAGTGTTGTTAACATATATACTCTTTAATTGGTTTGAAAATATTTGGTTAAGTACCTAGAATTCAGTAATTTGTTGTTTGTTGGTTTTAGATGTGTAGAAA